GATTGTGAGGATGGTGCAGAACCAAGCAGTATTTCGTTCTGTTGTACATATTGTTACTATGAGTCTGAACCAACTTGACAGCACCTAACAACAACAATAGTATTCTGTTGTATGGATATACGACATTGTATCTTTTCATTCATCAGTTGATGGACTTTTGGGTTTGTTTCCACTTTTTAGCAATTATAAATTATAATGCTATGAGTATCCTGTAGAAATTTTTTATTTGTGGACAAGTGTTTTTCATTCTCTTGGGTATATACCCAGGAGTGGAATTTCAAGGTCATGTGTCCTTAATAACCTTTTAAATTACTTTTTTTGTTTACTATTCTTGATGACATATTCCTATTATTTGGGGTTATACTTGCTTCCTCTGTGCTGAATGTTTTTTGGGACTTGATATAAAGTCAACACATCTGGGACCCAGTTGAAAATTCTTTACAGAAATAATTGAAAGTTACTCAAGTGAGGATAAAAGGAATCATAAGAACATTTATCATATAGCGTCTCTACAAGATTATATTTGTCTTTGTTGTTTTCTTTACCAAGTATCTGCTTGAAGATTTACGAAGACTTCTTTTTCTTTTCCAGAATCGCAATGAGATAAAAAATGGCAGTATTCTTCGATTAACCACATCTCCAGTAAGTTGATATTAGTTTATAGCTGTCTAACAAACTCTTTGCCCAATTACGCTGTATTTAATTATGGGATATTAACTTTTGAGACTGACTTTAGTGCCAAACAAAAGGTCTCTGGATTGTCTTCTCATGCAGATTCTTGGTTTGCGTGAGTGTCTCTCCTTAACACCTCCCATTACAGAAAAGGAAGATGTTGCTCCATGAGAAGAGCAGGTTAATTGATTGCAGAATCTGTAAGGTCAAGGTTTGGTTGTCATCTCAACAATTCTTATATTTTAGATCAGCTCACTCAGCTATACTGATTGATTTTACCCATCTGCCCACATGTCCACTCAAGCAAATTCAGACAACAAAGAAAGCAAACTAACTCAGACAGCCTATCACTTCTTCGCGAAGTGAGAGAAAGTATGAGAGAGAGTGTGTGTGGATATGAGAAAGAGAGTGTATGAGACAGAGAGAGAAAGGGAGAGAGAGAGAGGAGACAGAGTTTAAGCACTTTTTATAGCTCTGGTCAACTATAATGCCAATTCATAAAAATATGGTTTAAGAAACGTTTTGCTGCTTAAGCTCTTTCATTGACAGTAGATTCTAGAGAAAACACTGTAAAGTCTTCCAGTAAAAGCTGCTAAACAAAATGTGATAGTATATTTAGACTGCTATGGCTGACTGTCGTTTACCTCAATTCTTTTTAACTTGCTTGTAGATAATTTGGGTAGTAACATTAGCATATTTAAACGACATTATTTCACAGTGCATTTTATTGCTTTCCTTAAAAAAGTAGTCTACATAAAATACACCAAGTGTTACTATTTTTACTCTGCATATGTGATGAAAACTGTTTTTAACTATCATTTTTATTTTCCACTGAAGCCATGTGGTAGGCTAAAAATAAATTAAAAATTGGGAAAAGCATCTGGCTACAATTAAATTGCAGGTACTGTGACCACCACAAATTCTTCTTATTGAAAATTATGTTAGAGAGGCTTAAAAACTCCTAAACATTTTACCCAATAACATATTGAGCCTAACACAGTGATGAGCTCGATAGAAGGCATCCTTGGAGTGGCTAGACTGTCATGATGCCTCTTTTTTCGCTTAATGGAAATTATAATTTATACTTATTTTTCTGTGAGTATATGATGAGCTGAGATGTTTTTGTCCGACTTAGCATTGGCCTTCTTACTGTTGTCAGCATGAATTCCTGTTAATTTGACCTTTGGAGACTATTGTTTC